TTAAAGAACAGCTAAAACAGTCTTGTAAGTTTAGAAAGTTACATCACTTAACTGTAATGTAGCCTTTAAAACCAGGAAAAGACAACACTTACAATATTACAATATCCAAAAAATTGTTTAGTCTCATGTCATGATATCGGTATAATATATCAATATATCAATATATCCCCTCCCCCCGCATCTCTTGCAGCCCCACTCCCCAAGTCTAGACACACTACCCACATTCAAATTAATCGGCTGACTGACATTTTGGCCGCAACGCCAGATCTGGTTTGAATGCAGCCTAAGCAATGCCAGCTGATTCTGAATGTGATTTGGGTGTGACGACTGATGGCACCAAGGTGGGCCGGGTCTGTTCAGGTCTGGGTCAGTTTGTGGTGACAGCCAGCAGATTGAAAATACTCTTTTTAAACTCATTGATATTTGTGACTGTTACCGGCAACCAATAACATTGCTTGTGTGTGGCTGTAGGCAACCTGGTCTCACTCCTAAGTCGTCGAAATCCGGCACTTGGTCAGTGACTTCCTGTGTCAAACAGTGACGAAAAGTGACGTCCTTTCACATCAGCATGATACACAGCTGAACACGGTTATAGTTTAACGGCACCAGCAGTGTCAAGGGGTACTGTGGTGAGACAACAACAAAAGTTAAGGTGGTGGAAGGCCAAGTATGACAGACAGGAAGGGTGGTGGATGGGTTCAACAACCACCCCTCCTGACTTTCACCAGAAAGGTTGTTGTTTGCTTCCTGTAAGATTGTAAAGCCAAACCATGTTCTTTTTTCCTAATCCAGACCATGTACCTTTGTTGGCTAAATGAAACCACATGCGTTTGTTGTTGAAGGAAAAAGCATGTCAATTTGCGGTGTTGTACCAACAAAGTGCGTTTATTTTGAAGGAGACCGTATGTAAACGTTACATTCCCTGTGAAAACAGAAGTGTATTTTGAAAGAAGACAATGCATGTAACAGGCAGAACTTGACACGGCGTCCCAGAACATCAACAGCCAACACACCCAGGGTACCTTGCACGTCGTATGTGGATGTGGAAAGTCTATGACCAAACATAAATATGTGACGAGGTCGGAGTGAGAATGTGTTGCTATGGGAGACATACTAGTAAATACACGCTATACATCAGCATTCCCCATCAGCCTGTCTGACCATTTCCCTCCGTTTTTTAGCCTTTTCAATGCTAATGTCAGACTGCAGTACAAGTTGCTGGTTTCCATTGTGCTTGTTTTGGTCAAGAACACTTGACAGTTGACGATCTCATGGGATTTGCATGGTTTCCTACCTCCTGAAGTCCAGTGGTTACTGACCAGCGCTTCAGTGTGTTGTCTAGATTTTATTATTAAATAATCTGAAGGTCAACTCTTACTAGTCTGAGACAGGACATGAACTGGGGCAGCTGGCATTCAGACAAACATTTATTCCGCCCTGCATCGTGTGGACTCGCATAGTGTACTTTTCACTGGAACATCTAGATGGAGACACAGAGGTAGTGCCGGTGGACACAGACAGCCCTGAGGGAGTTAGTAGAGCAAAGGAATTTTTGATTATTCATTAGGCCGTGTCCGCCTTTAACACGTGTGTTGATTTACACGAGAAACTGAAGAATAATTAATCAAAATAAAAAGTTTTCTTTGGTTATTTTGCAACAGTCTGGTGCAGTGTGTAACTGTACCTCGATGATGGCCATCATCACTTCAGTCAGAGACTGCAGATAGAACAGATACATTCAGATGTGAGGGGTCATCAGTAGTGATGGCCAAATGAAGCCTCATGAAGCATTTTCTTTATTTTCTGAGCCCACTAGATGGCGCTTTTTGTTCATCAAAAGGCTGAAAGCACACTGAATTGCCATTCTTTGAGTCTCTCTCTCTTTAAACCATGAGCGCCATCTAGTGGGTTCAGAAAATAAAGAAAATGCTTCATGAAGCTTCATTTGGCCATCACTAGTCATCAGTAAAGACAACTACTAACTTTCCTGGACTACAGTGCTGGTAAGAATAATGAAAATTGAACGTAGAATAAAAGCAGGAAAATAAACAAAACATGAATAAAGGAGTTATTATGGGTGTGCCTTCACTGAAAACAGTAAAGAAACTATCATGGAACAAAATGAATTTGCTGATCTCGCGACCTGATTGGAGCAGGCAGGCAGTGGACCATGTGAAACACATTCATTCTTGGCACCAGGATTGCAGTATGCTACTGGATTTTTTTTTTTTTTTTTTTTACGGCACCCCACCTTTTACAGGGGTGCATGGCGAGTCACCAAGAGTCGGCCTTAATTATGATATATTTTGCCCCCCTGAGTCAGTACGTGACACCCAGAGCAGTAATAGTCAGTACGTTCAGATGACATTAGAGAAAATTGATCCACTGTGTTAGTCCGACCAAAGCTGGATTTTTAAAATACATGTAAACATCTTAGTCTGACTGAAATCGCACTAAATCAGATTTCTCAAAGTCAGACTAACACATCCAGATAATGCGACTGGGAGTCAAATTTCTCCTTCGTGTCATACAGTCAAACTAGCCCAGGTGCTCTGAGCATGCTCCACAGTTGCTCCACAACAAAGAAGAAGCTGGTAGCAACATGGTGAAATCTACATCCAGAGCCATGCAGTTTTGGACGGACCAAATGTACAGAGCTGTAAAGTTGTCCACCATGGTAGCAGTTAGCTGCTAGCTAACCGTAGCTAACTTGTTTGTCCATTGTTTGGTCTGTGACGTAATAGGTCAACAGGAAAAAGGTCCAATACTAACAAGCTGAAAGGGGGCATATCTCCACCTATTTAAATCAATGCCCCTCCCATGCTTGTATACCCGGACAAGGACAGTAGTCCAATTAAATGGCCTAGTGGAGCTATAAGCATGTAAACGTATCGAGTGTAGCTAATTGACCATAGACCTAAATGTTAGTGATGGCCAAATGAAGCCTCATGAAGCATCTTTGTTATTTTCTGAGCCCACTAGATGGCGCTTTTTGTTAAACAAAAGGTTGAAAGCACACTGAATTGCCATTCTTTGAGCCTCTCTCTTTAAACCATGAGCGCCATCTAGTGGGCTCAGAAAATACAGAAAATGCTTCATGAGGCTTCATTTGGCCATCACTACTAAATGTAGCAGTAATATCAACGAGAAGGTTCAGTCTTACAGAGGTGATATAAAAGAGTCTCCAAATGAGAGAATGTGCTCAGTAGCTGCATAAATACAAGAAAATAACGTCACTGAGAACACAGAAAGGTTTGGATTACTTTTAACGTTTCAAGCTTTCCACGCTTCCTGAGTTAGCATCAAAAGTGTTTGCAATGATAAAAAGAATGACGAAATCAAAGCTACAAAAACAAAGTGGAGCAGGAAGATGTTCGCAGGCTGTACTTAATTATCACCAGTTAAATAATGTAGCTCAGTCGGCCTTTGATCAGTCAGAGCAGAATCCTGCTGTAATCAATGACAACATGATGCTCATGCTTTGACAGAGGCCAGTAAAGGATTTTAATGAAAACAAAGAATTAAAACCACAGTTTTGTTTTGCATTGATAACACGCTGGACTCTGGGAAAGAATAGAGATCAGCAGTATTGTGATGAGGAGCTGTTTTAACAGAATAATGAAACGTTTGAGGAGCAGTTGAACTGTCTGCCACCGTCTTCTCTGTCACTTTGTTTCTTGAACGCAGCAGCCACTAAGTGTCAACCAGAGCAGAGCATCTCTCCTCGAGTGGAACTCTAACTTTATCCTCCTCAGGTGACAGATATAGACTGCACAGCCAGCCCATATAACCACTGTGAAGTTTGTAAAAGAGGAGGCTGAAATTGATGACTTGAAGCAGTCCAACGCCAAGACTTGAGGACAATTAATCCTGCCTCCGCTGTTAAAGACGTCTCCTTGATACAATAGAGAATGCCAGGTCCATCTGTGAAGTCAAGATGTAAGAGTCATGCATACATGCAGACAGAGAAAGCTATGGCTCCTAATTCTGCTCATTAATCACCTGTCTGCTGAACATCCTCCAGGGAAAAGTGCCCAGTTCCTCCGAGGTAATTACAGCACTTGAAGGAACGCTCTCTGCTGCAAATGCTCATAAGTAGCCATCTTATTCCTCTCCCACCCTTCCTCTTTTTGTCTCAGCCGTGGTGCTTCCACGTCCTCTGGAGAAACTTCCTCCTCCTCCTCCTCCTCCTCCTCCTCCTCCTTCTCCTCCCCTCATGCCTTTCTCCCGCACTGCTCTTGCTCCTCTTCAGCTTTGTAGTCAGCAGACTTTTTTTATTTTCCGGGCACACATCCATTTGGCGTCCGATGTGAGATAAATAAATTATGGCCTCTAAAATCAATGCCCAGTCCACGATGTAGGCTGTAGGCTTAGTGCTTGCCACCGTGCTAGAATTATGCCACCAGGGCTCAAACGGGCATTTCTCGAGCTGCTGTTCAGGACTTTTTGTGCCTTGAATTTCTTTTACTGGAAAGCTATTCCAGGCCTTCTGACATTTTATTATTTGTCATAAGTTTTCATGGATAATATAACTTTTACTGCAGAGAATGATGGAGGTTTTGAGGCGTAATTTGTCTCCGGAAGCTGTTAGTTTGTCACACAGCATCATGGTCTGAATTTTCCCTCTTTATTCACTGCAGCATCTGGAAACTGTCTTTAATTTCTCTTCAGAACCACTCAAAGATTCTAAAAATAAATCAAAAACAGTGGCAAGAGCAGCATCTTTGTGCATTTATTTTTAAAGGCAGAGCAGTGGCGATGCAGTCGCTCAGTCTGTAAACTGTGTGTTGATGTCGGAATGAAAGATTTATAACCATCAGGGATAGATGATGCCTCTTTTTTTTAAAGTTGTCGTAGTAGTCTGGTAGCTGGTTTCAGGGAGGCTGACACTCGACTTGCGTAACATACGTATTTGAATGTGTCCTCAGCATGGCTCTGTGAGAGCTACTATCACTCTGCTAATGCTCCCTCTCTCCTCCTCTTCCTCTCTGTGTTCCCAGATGGAGATGATACCGGAGCCTGATCCTGACGACGAGGGCACAAAAATAAGTGTAAGTTGAAGAGCTTGCATGTATCCCTGGTTGCCACCTAGCGCTTCACAAACCGTGGGCCGTCGCCGTCGTGACGCAAGTTGGCAGCGTGTCATTCGGAGCAAACACAACAGCGGCTGATTTCCCCCAATAATACACCTTCAGCCGCAGAAAAGAGCTAATCAGTGAAATCAGTGGCAGTGTATTATTACTGTCAGAGTGCTTCCCTTCCTGCGCTCATGCCCCGCCAACCATTCTGCCCCTTTTTCCTGTCACTCTGCATGTGCACTCTGTTCCCAGTGCATCACACAGCACACATCCCCCGTGTGACCTCACTGGAGTCCTCAGATGGTCACACAGTCAATGTAATGTGACACATCTGAGGTCAAGGTCACCTATATCTGTCACCGATGTCTTATAAGGGTATATTATGGTTGATTATAAACTGGGTCATCATTAGTTATTAAAACACACGGACGGTATTTTTTCATCTGCGTGATATTGCAAAAATTAGGCCTATCCTGACCCGCAAAGATGCAGAAAAATTGGTCCACGCTTTTGTTACCTCAAGGCTGGATTACTGTAACTCTCTATTATCAGGTAGCTCTAGTAAGTCCTTAAAAACTCTCCAGCTAATTCAGAATGCAGCAGCACGTGTACTAACAGGAACTAAGAAACAAGATCATATTTCTCCTGTTTTAGCTTCTCTGCACTGGCTCCCTGTAAAATCCAGAATTGAATTTAAAATCCTACTGTTAACTTATAAAGCTCTAAATGGTCAAGCTCC